ACATGCTGAATATGGCTACTGGTGAAATTGAGCTTCTGATCGTGCTGGAATTTAGCTACTGAAAAGAAAAATTATTTAAAGTTGGATTGGAAAGTTGCACAAGCTTGTTTTATTTGTAATGTTTCAGAGATGGGAAAATCAATAAGTGCAGTTAACCCAGCCAGTAACAAAAATGCTGAAAACACATCCGACATATTGTTCCACAAAATGATTTTATCACCTTGACTATGATAACTTCTATTCTCTTACATAAACATGAAATAGTCATAGTGATAAGATTGCTTTGTGGAAGGAGGCTGGCTCTTTGGGGTCATACAAAAAAACGAACACTTTATTTGGGATATTCTGCTAGACCCTGCAAAACAGTTCCAAATGAAATTTGTTTTTCCTGCTTCAGTTATCTTTCTTTTTTATAGATGCCCCCAAATCAGTATTGGGTGTCATTAATCATTAAGTGTTCTGTATGGAAAATGAAATTCCTACCCAACTTTCATTAATATCGGATCTACTGCTACCACTAAACAATGATCTGAGGACATGCCATTACGGGTTACGTCAGAACGACCTTTCATCTGACAATCAGAGAGTCGCTTGCCAAAATCGTGAAAGTGACAGTCGGAATGTGTTTTCTTATCATGCAACCTCGAAATGGTTAACATGAGGTTTTCCGAATGACAGTTACAGGCAAAATTTCCGTCAAAATCATCTTTGATCTCTCACTTCAATGAATTAACATTTAAAATGGAAGAGACTTTCCATAGCCCATGAGAAGTGAGTGAAGGAGTGAGTATGGTTTTGAGCCGCTTTTAGCAATATTCCAGCAATATCACAGCGGGGGACACCAGAAATGGGCTTCACACATTGTACCCATGTCGGGAATTGCACCCGGGTCTTCGGCGTGACGAGCGAACGCTTTAACCACTAGACTACCCGACCGCCCCCCATAAGAAGTACTGCCCTACACACTCGGCCATCTATTAGACATTCCAGAATGTTCATTTGTTCAGTTTTGACATTTTGAATTGATATTTTTCAAATCGAAGTTTGGAATGGAAATCGCCAGTTTCAAGACTAGTGCCATAAAGCTTGAGAAACCTGCTTTCTGATTGGCTAATGTCAACTTCTTCTTAGTCATTTCATTGTTCACACAAGTTTTGCGAAAAGGTCGTTCTGACATGACCCATAATAGGATGTCCTCAGATCTTTGTTTAGCGGTAGGGAGAAGTAAGATCTGATTTTAATGAGATTGACCCTACTTTTTTAAAATGGGTCATGTTGCCTGAGACTGATTTGTTAAATGATGGTCTGCTGCAGTATAATACAGTGGTCCCTTGCTATAACGCTACCAATGGGGTCCAAATAATTGGTGGGCGTTATAGACGATGAGCCGTTTAACCGATGCCAAGGCGGGGGAGCGCGCTCGTTGTTGCAACATGTGAGTTGACAGTGTCGCCTCAAATTGGATTGCCCACTAATTAAGAAAATAAACTTCGCTTGTGGTTCTCTTTTATTGCATGCATGCGCTTCTAAGATCAAAGGATGTATAGTGTGAAAAGTTAACTAGTAGAACAATCGTATTTCCGGGACTTGCCACGGATGTTTTCAAACAGATTATTAGAACTCAATTCAGCGATAAACGGTTGATTATGCAATGAGAAGCGTTATGTGCAAATGAACAACGAACAACAATACAATCATGGCTGTGTAAAACTCTCAGTATTAAAAGCGTACATAAATTTTGGGAGCCATGCGATACCGCGCGTAGTAACCGAGGTAGCGCTTTATCGAAGAGCCCAATAGTGAGGGATCACTGTACACTATAATGATAGCCTTGAACAGCCAAAGATCTAATTCATCACAATTAGCTATATTATAATAATCTTTAAGACTGTTTTATGACCCTTACATGAAAACCTCTTCATTTGGCACATCACTCAAATGGAAACAGCAGGAATTAATGCTTTCAGAAGTACAAAAAATCTAATCAGAATGAAGACTGAGTTGGATTAGAGAAGCTTCTTTGACCTGAATGTTGTTATATGAAGGCCAACCATATCGCTCAAAGTCAGTTGCCTCAGGCTTGTATTTATGATAGCTGTGAAGAGCAACCTTTCAAGGCTTGCTTCATTTCTTTTGGGTATCCACTTCATGTTGGCTTATGGTGTTGCTGTCTGTCATATATCTGAGTAAAATATGAAGATGTACAAAAAACAGTGTTTTAGCACAGACAGTGCCATACATTATTTAAAGGCTGTCATCTATGTTTCCATAACTCAGATTGCAAACCACTCAAGACACTGGATTCAACCCATGCCATTTCTCGCAATGTCTTTGAGGGGCGGTGGGGTAGCCTAGTGGTTAAAGCGTTCGCTCGTCACGCCAAAGACCCGGGTTCGATTCCCCACATGGTTACAATGTATGATGCCCATTTCTGGTGTCCCCCGTCGTGATATTGCTGGAATATTGCTAAAAGCGGCATAAAACCATACTCACTCACTCACTCACCCCCTTACTCAATGTCTTTGCTAAAGAGTAAAGGAGTTTATTTGTGTTGCAGTAGAACAGATGTAATCATTCTGTATATTCAATTGTATATATAAAGTTTGGTTGCCTGTAACATTAACCACATAAAATTAGAACATTTATAAATTCAAATGCAATGTAGCACAGTAAATCATGTTAACATGGTTAAACCTACAGGTACTTAGCTCACAGTAAGTTTATTTCCTAATTCACTAACATTCACCATGAAGCAAATGCTTTTGGCTAGGCTAACCTACCCATCCTATTATTGGCCACTTTTGAACAGTTGGTGATGGCAAATATGCCACGAGATCGTGTTCACTGATATGAGCATTGTCTATGAACCCAAACTATTATTCCTACTCTCAATTATCAGTCATACCAGATGTTGTTCAAATTGTCAAGGGGATTTTCAAAATGTAAGGGAATTGACGGATATATCAAAGTCGCTAGTGACCTTCAGCCAATTCTACTGAAAGACCAGAACATCAGAAGCCATCAACCATCTGCCCTTTCTTGAACCCTCATTTCCATAACTTAACCATAACATTTGTTTCCCATTGTGACACTGACCAGACAGCTCCTGAGCTAACATTGATACAAATCATTACCGTGATACTTGTGTGGGAGTTTGGGGTTTCGCATCACCCCCAGCCTTGTTGATGCAGCCATACTTAATTGATGAAGTTGCAAGATGGTCTGCTTTGGAATTAAATTGCTATGTGATATTGATTGGGGTGAGATGCTGGGGTGGGATACTGAATTTGAGAGATGAACGCATTCCCAGACGACAAGAAATATGGTTTGAGGAAAGATTAAGCAGTTTTATGTGCTTCGATTGCAATAAACACAATCTATGGCTGAAGGGGAAATTGCTGTGTGTGGCCGATTAGGAAACGGGGGCTGTCGATATCCTTTTGTAAAGTAACAGCTCACCTTTGATTTGTTTCCAAATGAGTTATCTGAGTTTTATATGACATTTACTTTTTTATATTTTGCTGGAGGTGATGCAAAGACAAATGTCACTTTCTTCAGTATTGATTCGGTAATGCTACTTTTCTGTTTGATAAAATGGAGTGAGTGATTGTGGTTTTACGGGTCTTTTAGCATATTCCAGCAATATCACGGCGGGGACAGCAGAAATGGGTTTCACACATTGTACCCATGTCGGGAATCGAACCCGGGTCTTCCAACGTGAAGAGCAAATGACCACGAGGCTACCACCCCTCTTGATGAAATGGAATAATGATGTATTTCCAGGGAGGTATTCTACCTTTTCTGGTCTTGTTAGGGGGAGATGAATGATGATGATACAAAAATGTTTGCTTTATCATAGTTTCTTACTTTGTAAAGTTACTTCACTTTGTATCTTTGTACAGTCCTCTTATTAGTGTGTTCTCTATTTCCTGAGGACCTGGTTTGTTTTCTGACATGATTTGGTTTGGTTTGTTTGTTGTTTAACACCGCACTCAGCAATATTCCAGCTATATGAAGGCTTCAGCACAAAGTCTCTGCATAAAGAATGCTCTCATCTTATTAGTTCATCAGAGGTTTCAAATCACAATAACATGCTTCTGATTTAACTCACATGTTTGGTTCCAAAATAAATGAGATCAAAGACATGTTCTTCAAAGTTTAAACAAGTTGCTTTATCTCATAATATGAGTTTCTTTCTATGCGTTCCATGTGAGTTCCGAGTTAGACTTGATACTCAGCTTCTTAGGCTGGTCATAAGAGGCGATCAAATTAAAGTGGTGGTCAGGCTTAGTGACTGGGTTAATTGTTTATCATCATACCTCGATGGCGTGGATTATTGCTCATAATATCGATCATTGGATTGTATGGTCTATTAAAGTTCGTTATTTTTACTGGTATAATACCATGGAAATCTGGCATTGACATTGAAATTTGTCAAGCTAAGAGTATATGAACCCTGTGTTGCCTCCTGCTGGGGGCACGGAGGGCCCAGTTGTCTAAGGCACACCAGTTCGCTGTGCAGAGTTGTGTCCCTTGGGCACGCAAGAAACCTATGATTGTGGGTTCGAATCCCGGTTCGCCCCGATTATGTTTTTAGGTTTGTCAGTGCTCTTGGGTTTCACCGAAGTAATAAACATCTGAGACCTGCATCACTTCGGGCTTTCCTCCAACATTATACTGACACGCCGAGATATAACTGTAATACTGTTAAAAGTGGCGTTAAACCCAACTCACTCACTCACCTAAGGTGTGCCAGAAACTTATGATTGTGTTTTTTCCTGATTATGATTCTAGGTTTGTCAGCACCAGGATAATGCTCACTGGTTTCAATAAAGTTGTAATTTTCTAAGATCTGCACCACTTTGGACTTACAACATAAAGCTGACACGTTGTGATATGACTGAAATACTGTCCAAAGTGGTGTTCAGAACTCATTCACTCACTCACTAACAAAATCATCTTGAAAAGATAGATGACAATGTGTTTAACTGTATTTGCAGATGAGATGCATGCAGAGTTGTGCTATGCAGAATGTCTGCTGATCCGAGCCCTACTGACGTTCATACAGGACGAAAACCTTATCAGTTTTGTCAAGGGAGGACTGAAGATAAGGGAGTGCTACAAGATATACAAGTAGGTTGATTAGGGTTATTCACAGTCCAGGAAACACTCAGACATGATTGGAAATGACAGTTCTTCATCTTGTCCTAGTGGAGGCCCTAGTTGTCCTTTAGGATAAAACCTTCTGTTAGCCTGTGTTGAAGAATTGGTTCTAATATTACTATATCTTAAACATTTTGGAAAGTATATGACCCGGTATATTATGATGTAAATATACTACTCAAAAGAAGTTAAGGACCACCTGATTCTTTCATATTACTATAGTTAATCTGTCATGCCTTGACAAGTGAAAGTATCTACTTTTGAGTAGTTTATAATGTCAATAACAACACGACAACATATAAAAGAACAACATTTATTAAATTTTTTGGCATATGGGGATTCTCGGTATATACATATATACATGACACATAAACATAGTACATGGAAGACTAACTTCAGCCAAGTCTCTAATATCGGAGTAGCGCACTCCATACTGTTTGAGCGTACTGAGAGTTGGCTGAGTATACGAACAATGGACGGTGAAGAAATATACCCGATCGGCAGGCTGTACCTCTGCCAAGTAATACAAGTAGGAGTCGCGCACCCCAAGACTTGCTCCCGAGCGCCAGGAGTACCTGGCAGAGTAGACGAATGCTGAAAAAACAAAAAAGAGATGAATGTTAAATTACTTGCAGGGGGAATAGTATCCGCCTGAATTGCCCTCTGATTGAGCGGATAGATTGCCCATATTATTATTAATGATAATTGTGAAATTGAATTGATGAGAATCCCGGATTCAGCTTATATTGCAGAAATACACTAAGGTGGTGGTGAGGGAGGTGGTGGGTTCAGTCAAGATCCGACCATTACGAAACGCGCTTGATTGAACCATGTGTTGTGAGCTGAACTAAGGAATTGCTGACAGCTGACTGCGCATGCGCTAGGCATGATTAAGTTTGGGCGTGTGAGAGAAACGGAATATGATTGTGAATTGCTCGGGTTCCCAAGCCGACTTAACTACAAATAAACACCCATTGGAGTATATTACCTGATGACTAACAGTCACATCTGTATAGCACAGGTTAGCTTGTTGAATTAAACATTCGTAATGGACAATAAAAATTATAGAAAATTATCATATGGTATGGTGCATGTAATGCATAACATTCAATGACGTAACCCTTGCTATTGCCATTATAAACTCAACTCAATATCTAAGTAATAATATAAATATTCCGCACATATATTTTCATCAACACCAGAGTTAGTCTCAACTTTTGTTAAGTGCCCTGTTCATACTATGTCCTCCAGCGGTCAGAATGTGCTCGGATCTGAGCAAAGATTGTGGAGTTTCAAGTTACAAAATGACATTCCATTAACAGGCTCAGTGCTGGTCCTTATGCAGAGAGGGCTAGGCATGGCTTATCTTGAAGACATTTAACAGCGATAATATTACCAAGCAAAAGCCACTGTGTAACAAAGTATTCAGGTGATATTGTTCTTGGTAGATATATGGAAAGGTTGTGATCGTGTTCAGATGTAAGAGGAGGATAATTTTGTTTTGAAATCCTAACCTTTTACACAAAACATGTTATGACCTTGCTTCAGAAACAACTTGCAGTTTATCACTCTTCTTTATAACATTATACTTAAAAATGACTCCCTGATTGCACTGTGACAAGCCTGTGCAAGGTGAGCTTCAGTCCCTTACACCATCTTTCAACTGTTGTTGCAGGGAGTGTAACAAGATGCTGGTCAAGAGGAAGTGGGATGGAGGGGAGCACAAGATACACTTCGAGAGTGGGGTCAAGATGGGGGTGGGGGCATTCAATCTGGTGAGCTGACGTTACAGAAACGTTGACATTTGTAAATCATAAATGTTTATGACCATTGGTTGTTTACCATATGAATATGATGAATAATATGAAGTCTCAAAGTTTCAATTCAGGATGTAAGAATTATGTTTATGGAGAATGTGAATTTATTGAATAATGATTTGAAAGTTTATCTTCAGATTTCATGTTCAGTGCTGCATGTTTCATAAGCTGCTCATTGCCCTGTAACTGTTATTTGTATGAGGACATGTATGTTTATCAGTTTGGTCACAAATTTTGGCCTAAAATATAAAGTAGGCAGTTGGGAAAAAATGTTTAAGAAATTACAACTTCCAAATTAACTGAATAAAAAAGGAAACAAGCTTCATGTTGGCTGGACATTGACCTGAGTGTTGGTAGTTGATAGTATGACACTATCGTCTACCAGTTACGTCAGATTCTGTCATCTTGGCTTACCAAATACATCCACAAAATATTTCTGGTGAAGTCAAGGAGCACATCCTTCTAGTGTGTCTATTGTTTCTTGTTATAGCCAGACCCGTGAAGATCCAGGGTAAAATAGGTCTTTAGCAACCCAAGCTTGCCATAACAGGTGACAATGCTTGTCGTAAGAGGCGACTAACAGGACTGGGTGGTCAGGCTCGCTAACTTGGTTGATGCATGTTATCATATCCCAATTGGGTGGATCGATGCTCATGATGTAAATCACTAGATTGTCTGGTCCAGACTCAATTATTTACAGCCGCCGTCATATAGCTGGAATATTGCTGAGTTCGGCGTTCGGCGTTCGGCGTTAAACAACAAACAATCAATCAATCTTGTTATAGCCGACTCCAAAGTAGTTTCAGAAGCCATGTGTTTGTAAGCAGTCGTTGTTTCATCTTCCACACACCTATGAATTCTATCACTTACACTTTCCTAGGACGGTACTTAAATGTTGGTCCAATTTTTAAAAAAATTTTTTACTAATTTCATTTTTATTCTGTGTTTTCGTAAACTAAAAAGAACTTAAAGCTGTAAGTAAGGATGAATGTGATTTGATTTTTTCGTGTGTTTCACCAGTTGTTTCAAAGTTTTTATTTTCACAGACATGGAAACAATATGCTTGTTTCAAAGGGAGATGTGTGTGTAAATGAATATTGTGTTGAATAGATATTATTCTTTGTTTCAGATGATATCTTTGTTGCCTAGCAAGATCATGAAACTCTTGGAGTTTGTTGGGTTTTCAGGAAATAAGGTATGTACAGAAAAGATTTGTTCTTAAAATGTTATTTGATTGTGGGATTTAACATGATATGAGTACTGATATGCCAGTTGTATTTATCAAAATTATCTTTACCTTGGATGTGCAACAGTAAAACAGTATTCATAATAAATATTTTCTATTGGACTTGTGGAGATCTGGGTTAGAATCGGTCTTCAGCAACCCATGCTTGCAGTAAGAGGCGACTATGCTTGTAAGAGGCGACTAACAGAATGGGGTGGTCAGGCTCGCTGACATGGTTGAAGCATGTCATGGTATCCCAATTATGTGATCGATGCTCATGATGTCAATCACTGGATTGTCTGGTCCCAACTGGATTATTTACAGACCACCGTCATGTAGCTGGAATATTGCTGATTGGGGCGTTATTAAACAACAAACAAACAAATTTCTGTTGTATAATATCTCAGAAAACTTGCATTAAAATGTTAATGTCCTTTTGTAGAAACTAGGCCTGGCTGAGCTCCACAAAGGCAGTGAAGTGACGACCAGTTTACGAGGACCTCTATGTTCCATCATGTTGATAGCATACCATACTGTAGTAACATTTGTTCTAGGTAAGTCCAGTTGGTTGAATTAGTCTTCAGGAAAGCAATTTCTGCTCACCAATGGGTCAGCAGCAGTAAATCAAACCATCATAATGATATACTGGCTCACGTTGTGTTTTAGATGTTAACGTACGAGGGGCGTTCAATAAGTTTTGCAACTTGGGCATTTGTGTTTACATAAACAGTGTCAACTTGTGGCAGGTGTGACACTAGTCATAACATCAGGTTGACACGTGTCATAACAAGTTCCAGACACAACAATAAGTGAGATGTGATGGCTTCATTCACCTAAGGGTGGTCACAATCATGGACAATCTCAAACATGAACAACATGCTGTAATAAAGTTCCTTACCAAGGAGGAATGCAAAGCAAAAGAAATCCATATGTGAATTATGTGAATGTGGATTCAAACAGTGAAATCACCCACCAGACAGCCCAGACTTAGCCCCCAGTGACTATTTCCTGTTCCGGCAAATGAAATCTGCCCTACATGGAAGACGCTCCCAGAATGGCGAGGACATAAAGGCTGCCACAGAGGCGTGGCCAATCTGCAGATTTCTATAAAAGTAGTATTAAAAGCTTGAAGGACAAATGGAAAAAGTGTATTGAGGTGAATGGAGATTATATTGAAAAATAAAAGTGCAAAAGATATTCTGCGACTTGGTCATATATTGAAGTTGCAAAACTTATTGAACGCCCCTCGTATCTTGTCATATGTACTGTCCTGCCAGTCTTCCTGATCATCATTTATGCTTGCTTTACTATACTTTTAAGGCTGAAATGAGAAGTGAAGTTAAGTGCTGGTGTATGTTGGCGATGGCCATGTACATGTACATTTGAATAAGATTGTTAGATAGATGTTGGATTATTTTTCGTTGGATTTTTGTAGTTGTTTCTATTCATTTTTAAATCCATCATATATGGAACAATCAGGCATATGAAAATATATTAGCTTTTTGAGTGTTTTTTTCTGATTGGAGATTTTGGTTATATCAGTCTCCAGCAGCAGTTAAATAAGCTCCCATTATGGTTTTTGTGTCATTTTCTGTTTCGACATTTTGGCTCCAGTTGGTTGATTCCAGAAACAGAGAAATGAGAAAAGTGTCTTCTAAGCCTCAATAAAATAATAGTATTGTTTGTATTGAGTGGGTATGGTTATTATAATCTAATTTCTATTTTTCACAGGTTTAGCTGATGGTGATATAGACTATGCATCTGAGTTACTCAAACCTTGTCTTAGAAACTTTCCCAAGGTGAGAACGGGTCTTTATTTTTTGTGATTTATTCCACCATTAAATGTAATGTTGTTAGTGCTTGCATTAGTGTGTGTGCTAGTGATTAACATGGTTGGACCTGGCCACTAGCCTACTAGTCCTAAAGACTAGTGAAACTCTAGAAGGACTAGTCCCCCTTAAAACTGGTGATGTTACACAATCTACTAGTTCGAGTGGGATTTGGACGAGTTGGATTGATTTCATTGTGTATACAGCGGCCTCCATAGTTTAGTGGATAGAGCATCTTCCTGGAGTGTGGAAGGCTGTTGGTTGGATCCCTGGCTACATCATACCTAAAGACGTTAAAAGATGGTACTGCTTGTTACCCTGTCTGGCATTCGGCATTAGTGGTATAAAGCAAGGTTTTGTCAGCTCGGAGTCAGTATAATGTGTCTGAGTGGCATGTTAAAAAATGTGCCATGGTATCTGAGTAGGCTAGAACTATAAAACCGACATTAGTTCGGACTAGTACAAGCAGCTACACACACATGTGAATGATGTTAAACCCCATTTCACGTGACCTCATTGTGTCTACACATGGTGAGGGTGAGACTAACATACATAGTGTCTTTGCAACTATTTCAGAATAATAAGGGGATGGTGGGGTAGCCTAATGGTTAAAGCATTCACTCGTCACACTGAAGACCCGGGTTCGATTCCCCACATGGGTACAGTGTGTGAAGCCAGTTTCTGGTGTCCTCAGCCGTAATATTGATGGAATATTGCTAAAAGCAGTGTAAAACCATCCTAATACGATACCATAGTAATACGATCGTCAGGTACCGTATTCAACATATAATAGGTGCCCATGGCGATATTTGCTAATATAATGTCTAGTGAACAATCCCAATTAGCACCCCTTCAATGTACACAAGACACATTTATTCATGTTTAATACGCACTTTTGTGTTATATGCACCCTGAATTATGGGCAATTTAATTCTGGAAAATATATCTGTCGTGTACAATACGCACAGACTTTTCTTTTGTATCATTTCAGGCTGTCAGCATAAACCAAGAAATTTACAATCTTTCAAATGGTTTCTTTTCACCAAAATAATATTCTAATGAGCCCCCTATTTCTAATTTTGAGAGTACCCTGGGGGCTTATTACGTCAAATACAGTATGTGAGAATTCAACAGTGTGTATTGTGTTCCAGGGAGCTCTATTTCTGTTTTTTGCTGGGCGAGTGGAAGAAGTTCGAGGAAATATAGATGAAGTAAGTGAATGTTCAGAGGCAGCATAGATATTCAACCCCAAGTCTGCAAGGGCACTTAGTTTTGAATCTTAGACAAAAACCTGGTTTTGATTTGTGCTTTACTGGTGTTGGTTGGTTTGTTGTTGAACGCCACTCTCAGCAATATTCTAGCTATTTGACGGCGGTCTGTAAATAACCGAGTCTGTACCAGACAATCCAGTGATTGATATCATGAGCATCAATCCACGCAATTGGGATCTATGGTATGCATCAACCAAGTCAGCGAGCCTGACCACCCGATCCCGTTAGTCGCCTCTTACGACAAGCATAGGCACCTTTTACAGCAAGCATGGGTTGCTAAAGACCTATTCTAACCCGGATCTTCACTGCTTCACTGGTGTACTGGGTCTCACATCTGTTATGGAAGGAGGCCCAACTGTTATATTGTACACCTTGGTGGTATTGTTATTCTGCATGTTAAAGTATTTGCTGGTCATTATGGTATGATTCCAACATGGTAACAATCTGGTGTCCCCCAATATAATATGATTGTAAGTAGCGTAAAACATTTGTCACTTGTATGATCTCTCCTTTGATCTCTGAACAATTAGTGCATAAATTTCAGGGGATGTTGTGAGTGTGTGTTTGTTGTTTTTTGTTTTGTAACCATACTCAGCAACAGTCCATCTGCCTGTAAGTAGTCAAGTCCAGTGATTGATATTATGGCCAACGATCCACACTGTCAGGGTCTGACCACCTGATCCATTTAGTTGCCTCTTACAACAAGCATAGGTTGTTGGGGGCCATTCTGACCAGCAATCAACCTGTATATGTTGTGATTTAACTACAGAGCTTATATAGTTGTGAAAACATCCCTTCCCCAAGACACAGTTGCTACCTTTATATAATCCATGAAGAAGGAATAATAGTTACAATTGATCAAGAATTTTGAAGTCTAGTTTTTACCTCATCTGCATCTTCATATTGAAAGGGGCGGTCGGGTAGCCTAGTGGTTAAAGCGTTCGCTCGTCACGCCGAAGACCCGGGTTCGATTCCCGACATGGGTACAATGTGTGATGCCCATTTCTGGTGTCCCCCGCCGTGATATTGCTGGAATATTGCTAAAAGTGGCGTAAAATCATACTCACTCACTCAAATTGAAAATGTCACTTTCCTTTGTAAATGTGTAAAAATATTTGTGAATCTCAACTTCTGTTACTTCCTTTTGCAATATTCATATTTACGCTATTATTAGTACCTCTATTATCTGATTCAAATATTTCCCAAAATTTTCAGGTGAGCTTCAGTGCCTTGTGGCTCTATTTTTGCAGAAAAATGTTTATTATTGTGCAAATAGTCTTCATGTTGATATCACACAAAATAACCTCAGTGCTAAGATCATTGTAACTTCTACAGTTCATTAATAATATTTTTTGCATGAGGTGTATTGTGCAGGTCGGCCCTGGTCTATTAAGTGTCCTCTGTGTTGCAGGCTGTGTACAAGTTTGAGGAGTCCATAGACTCCCAGTCCGAGTGGAGGCAGTTTCATCACCTGTGTTTCTGGGAGCTCATGTGGTGTCATTGGTTCGTATATACCAGAAAGGTGTAAAATTGGTGCTCTACAAAGACTTGGTGAAGGAAGGTCACCTTATATTGAAGCAAGCTGGATGTTAAAGTTTGTCTGAAACCAAAGCTATTGCTGCCTGGTGTGATTTTTAATCAATATTTGTGTCATAAAACCAAAATGTTTTCTTCTTTATTATACTTACTTCTATAAATGTCAGCTTGAAAATAGAAAAAGTGTTTAAAGTAATGTTCAGTAGTCAGGAAGGTATCTAGACAAGCACAGAGTGCCCCCAAATTTTAAGCAAATGTCAGTAAAAATTCCCAAATTGAAATTACAAAATTTCATAATTAAAAACCTATCTCATGACTCTGTATTTCATTGATAATAGGACCAATAAAAAGAAAGAGGTCTTAATTCAAAATTCTTAAACCTCAAAATACAATGTAAAATACCTCTGAAATTAACAAAATAAGAACTTTCAAAGAAATCCCAATTTTGAACAAAATATAGTTTTTTCCCCAAATTTGTATGCCAGTGACACTAACTTTAAACTCTTGGGTAAATCCCTGGTAATACTTGTGTTAATATCACTTTTAGTGACAGTATTAAGATGCACTTAATAAGTTTGTTTAGCAGACATGTGTTGTTGTATGCAGGGTTTCAGGTCAGCTCAATTGCTTGGACATCAACTGATTGCCATCCAGAATTTCAGCAGCCCATGTAATGATGTAGAATACTGTCCTACCTAAAGCTGATGAAGTTGTCAATATGTCCTCATGCCATGTGTCACTACAAATCACGTGTATGTCTCCAGCTTCAAGGGTGACTGGCTGATTGCCATGAAGTATGCAGAGCGCTTGTGTCGTGAGAGTCGATGGAGCAAGGCAACCTACACATATCAGAAGGCCTCCTTCCTCATGATGTGTGACGACCAGACCGAGGAAACACACGCACACATCTCATTCCTCTTCAGGTCAGAATTACAGCTATGTACTATGAAGCCTTGTTAATGTGGCACCTTCCTGACAGGCAAAACTGGAAAACCAAATTATTGGACTCTCAGTTCATGACATCGTTTGGCTAAGATTAATACATTTAAGAATTGACTTTCACTTTGTGTCAGTTCATTGGAGTATGAACTTTCATGCATTTACATCAAGTACAAGACGTCAAAATGGCCGACACGATAAACGTGATGGGAGAGATTTCCGAAGTTGTTAATCAACCTGTGGCGGTTACATGTGTTAGTCATCAACTTGCCGATCATTGAAAGGTGATTAAAGATGTGTCAAATAGATACTCAGGTAAATTCATAGATTGCTGGAGACGGTCACTGTCAGACAGATCGAGTCGATACTACGATAGTTTGGATGTGCATTTCTTTATTTTGATCACAAGGATGGGTCGTAGCGAGGCTATTTGTAAATGGTCATGCAGTCAAATTCTCTGGCGTTTCCCAATATTTACTAAAATGCTGAGTGCAAGATAAAAGGGTCTAAATGATCAGAAACAATGCTTCTGTATGTATTAATGCTAGGGAATTCCCAGCGTTTCCCAAAGGAATGTGGAGGTAGTCCGTCATTTCAAGAACATGGTCACGTGAAAAATGTATGAACGTCAAATTGTGTCATTCATACACTTATCTATGTCAATTTCGCTGTGATGTGACCGACCTCTTGTCCAATGGAAAAGCCATATATGGTGTAAACTTCAAATTAAAAAATTATATTAGTTTTGTACAAGTGTCATGTCACCAGTTAGTGTGTTACTTGTTACAGTAGTAACTTGTGATTGTGAAATAAAGTTATCTTTAAAATATATATAATTCTACAAGATAAATAATAAAATCCAAATTGAGCCCAGAACAAGGCTGAAGAGCTGAGACAATCTAGACTTGCCAAATCATTATAGACATGAGTGGGATTTCCTTTTCAATTTATTCTCAAGGCTTTGGCAGACTAAGTAAATGGATCAATGAAGCCTAAACTGACAATCATATCAGCTAATGAGGCAACTGTGGTCTTATCATAGTTACTAAGTGATGGGGAAGCACGAAGATTTCCAGATTAACAAATCAGTTATGTGCTGGTAATTCTTTCATTCCCATCTGAAATCTTCTAACGGGTGTCTCACTTTACGGAACTGTTCTTGTGCTGCTGCTTCTGTCAATCATGACATGCAAGATTGGTGTAAATAGTGGATGGTGCCATGCTATATTAGCCTATATGTGTGTTGTGGAGACAGGAAGTGTTACAGACACTGGAGCCCCTCCTGTAGTGAATAGGCAACGTGTGAGCATGGATTTACTTACTGTACATGGACATTAAGTACTGTGAAACCACTGTGGTAGACACTATTGCGATGCTATTCGTAGTTAAAACACTATTGCAATACTATTGTGGTAGTTATAACATTATTATGATGCTATTGTTGTAGTGACACACGTATGCGCACTCACATACACACACACACACAGTTAGTCAGTGCGAAATAATCATGATGTTAAACCCCATTTTCACGTCACCTTCTTTGAAATGTTGTTTCTCAAATTTGATTCTATAGTCTCCTTGTATGAATTTCAGTGAAGTCCCTCGTCTCAAGCAGAGAATAGCTGGTAAATCTCTTCCTTTTGAGAAGTTTGCTGTTGCTAAAGCGAACCGATTTGTTGAACAAGATGGACGACTCACATTACCTGCACTGGTGAGTTAGAAAATAAATAATACTCTTTTTTCTCTCAAGAAGTTGCGAAATATGCAATTCTTACTTTTACTTTTACATGAAATTAATCTTGAATCACAGGAACAGTGATTTAGCATAGGTGATTGATAGTTGGACAAATGGAGGTCATTTTGTGTGTATTTCAATACCTTGGAAAATAACTGCTTACAGTTTTCATCCAAGAACATTTGTTTTTTTCCTGTCCAGTATTGTTCACTGAAACCTTTAGATTAACTCACAGTGGCCGTTTAGGTAAGGGCTAACCGATCGTGGATCTCCTTTTGCAAATTTAAAAACTTCATTTATGACTCTTTAGATAAAGGTATCCTTTCACGAATGGAACACAAAAATGATCCAAACTGACACTTATTGTCCGACTTGTCATACATGCAAAATTATTGTGAGATTGGTCATCAATTAAACTTATGATGCTCAATTTGACATTAATTTTTGCCATATTGTTCAGTTGGCGAATCCTAGTAAAATTCTTTGCATAATAAGTATAGACTTTTGTCCCTTGTCCTTGATACACAGGCTTAGCCAGGATTAACTCTCTTTGTCTTCTGATAATAATTTTAAAAATAAAGCTTTCAGCAGAAGATGGGGAATTTTTCATTTGACCTAAGCATCGGTGCCAGACCTAATCAACTTGGCATTGAGTGATTTTCGTGATCCAGTTTGAAAGAGAAGAGTGAAAATATATTTCCTCCTCCGACTTTGAAAAAGTAAATCTGTGATCAATAAAAACATAATGGCCTTCTGTGTGCAGAAAGTTCATTCCATTGTGAGCCAAGAGTTACCTTTGGTCTTCCAGTCTATTGGTACGACTAGATGACTGCATGGCTAAGGCTCTCCTGTGTGACACAGGACAATTATGACTGTGTAAACATTATGGTATTGCCAGATGGTAAGACGATGAACCAAGTATGAAGTATGAACTAATTCAGTGGAGTGATGTAACGTGTGCCTTGTATTACCTTCCAGGAATTGATTTACGTGTGGAATGGATTTAACATCATCGGTAAGAAGATGGAGCTGCTTGAACCCATGCTGATGAAAATAGAGGAAGTCATTAACGAAATTCTTCAAAATAAGGGTGAGAGAGTTAGATGGTTTATTTCAGATGCTGATGCCTGTAGACTGAATACAAATGATTTGGTAACATAGGTATCCATGGCAGATTATGAAAAAATGAATGTGGGGATTCAGGGTTAGAATAGGTGCCTAGCAACCGTTGCTGTTGTATGAGGCGACTTACTGGATTGGTGGTCAGACTCGGTGACATGGTTGACTGCATGTCACTGTACCATAACGGAGTTGATCACTTCTTATTATATCTGTCTCGGGTTTGTCTGTCAGGTCCAGACTCGATTATTTACTGACCACCGTCATATAGCTGGAATATTGCTGAGTGTGGCATTAAACAATAAGCAAACAAGTTTTTTACAAAACCATGAGCTGTATCCTAAGCAATATGATGTACCATCTGATCCAGTAATATCCTGTATGTCTTGTGTTACAGGAAAGTACCATCATTTCCATGACGACTACTCCCTGGCGCTGCTCCTGAAGGGGGTGTGTCTGCGACATCGAGGTCAGGCATTCCAGGCTGAACAGTGCTTCAAGGAAATCCTCTCGTAGTAAGTCTTCTATTGTCTTGTCATTAACAATATGTACTGCTCAAAAGACTGTAATATGAAAGAATCAGGAGGTCCTTAACTTCTTTTTAGTAGTGACTGCCTGCGTGGTCTAATGGTGTCCACCCGGAGAGCAGAGGGTCCAGGGTTCGTTCCCTGGCCGCGTCATACCAAAACACGTTAAAAGATGGTACTTGTTGTTACCCTGCCTGGCGCTCTGCATTAGGGGGCTAAAACTGGTCAGCTCGGAGTCAGTATACTTTGTATGGGTGGGGTCTTCACATTAAACTGTGGCATGGTATCTCAGTGGCCTAGCACTATAAAATCAGCATCAGTCTGGACAAGTTCAAGCAGCCACACACACACGCACGTGGATGCACCCATGCAAGTGCAATAATTTTGGACGTGATGTTAAACCTCATTTCACCTCACCTTTTGAATAGTACATCACATGGACTGTAAGATGTGTCCTGTTACATCTGCTGTCATAGCTTTATAATGTTTTCTATATTATTATCAAACCATGTTCATTAGGCCATAATTATAGTATCGTATTCATCGTAATAAGTGTCCTGGATGCTTCGAAAGTTGACATGGGGGGGAGGGGGGGGGCTCTTATTAAAACCATAAGCAACAAGTTATATTTTTAGAGGTTGAGTGGTAGTGACGATACAGTTCAAATGTAGAGACCAGGCAATTAAATAGGGCTTGAAAAGAAGCCTGTAATGTATGCAAGAAAATATCACATACATTTCAGTCTTAGTAGGGAGCACTTATAGAGATGACTTACAGAACTTACAGACTGGAAGCTGGTCAGGGTGGGGACAGGGCTTATTGGATCAGGGGTCTTAATATGGCGAATATGGTGTCTCTGTTTAAAGGTTTTTTACTAAAACACAATTTTAAGGCAATAAATGAAAAACTAATCCTAGACCACAGAAATGTCAAGTTATGTGCAGGAAACAATTGGATCAGTGAATTTACACATTTTCCCTTTTGTCAGTGAATCTAACATCAAGATAGACACCTACCTTGTACCCTATGCTTTTGTGGAGGTGGCCATCTTGTATCTACAGGAAGACCGACTTGATGAAGTCAAGAAAATGCTGGAAAAAGCCAAGTAAGGAGTGTTTCCTTTGACTGCTTCTCAATAATAATTTGTTTTTAATTGATTGGTTGTCTATCTTTGACTTTTATGTATTTGACATCTCTTTGCATGAATGGTGCCAGCTATGGAGACTCTGCACACATAAATCTAATCTGATTTTAAACATGGCCACCACAGCAGCCATTCTCAGGGACTTGCACCATTTGTTCCCTTGGGACAGATCATCCATAATTCCTAATTGTTGGTTATTCTCTATAACTGTACCAGGACTGTCAGCCATTGGTTTGATTTCTTGAGCCCCGATCCTGCTTTGCCCATTGTCCTACTTGCCATAATCACATGCACTGACTAGATCATTCTTTTTCTCCAGAAAGAACTACAAAGGGTACTACCTTGAGTCACGGTTGCACTTCCGCATCCATGCAATCCGTCTGCAGCTGGAGAGTGCAAACAGCAGTGATGCTGAGGCATCATCTGCACCACAGTCTCCTGCACCGCAGTCACCGTCGATGGGATCAATGACAAATTCCTTCGACTATGGTCCAGATGATGTACCAGACAGGTTCTCTACTGACTTGTGATCTGAAGTGTTTAGAGAAAGACTACATCTCCCACTACAAACACTGCTGTCTGAGAGGCGTGTGTCAGTTAGCAGACATGGGTTTCTCCAACAGGCTTTAATCATAGGGACCACGATGACTTCATTCAGCAAGAAACTCAACATGTCTCTTGTTTTATATGTCAGGAACAGATTTTGTTCTAATAAGTTATCAAAAGTCCTTCTATGTATGTAAAGAGACTATGAATTGTGTCATCATTTGCATCTTTCACCCATCCTCAACATCATAATGGCGGTCCACAAGCACCTCTGATAGGGAACATGGGGTATTGGACATCCTCCCTAGGCCCTATGCTACAAAGTGATCTTAGCACTGGCGATACTAACTCCCATACTGTATCATAGATTGTCGTAGTGCCAAGGTCACTTTGTGGAACAGAGCTGGGAAACAATACCATCACTGTTGGTGGTGAAAATGCCACTGGACTTATGTTATGTTATGGCCACAACCCATTGAAGGAAGGAGGAACCAGGGAACCTTCACCTGTCATCCAAGAGCATGAGGATGACATCCATCCCTCAAACATGATCTTGACATGTGTAATTTCAACTACATCATCCTCATCAGTCAGGATTGGGAATGTCTCCTTCATGTCTAATTAGATCACTTCTGGGAAAGATGTTTTCCAGGTAGGGCATGGTTCATTAGTTCAAACCTGTCTTTTATCTCTAGTCCAAGCTGATATCTTCAGCTATCAGTGATATTATCGGGATGTTTAATTATTCAAGACTAAATTATCATTATTGTATAAAAATTATGCTCAGAACTGTCAAATTCATACTAGAGCTGGGACGGGTACCTCGGGTATTGGGTTTGGTGGGTACTGAGTAGCACCTGGATACCCACAGGACTATCTGGACATGTTGTCAGTCACATGATATGTTGCTTTATGACAAAAATGATCTAGAACTCTATGGCTACACTACAAGTCACTAATTGTTTGAAGGCGGACTGATTATTGCCATTTCAGGTTGGGTTTTTGAGGATAGTGTGTTAGTGAATTTGATTTTACGCTGCCTTTTAGCAGTATTACAGCAATATCACGGCGGGGGACACCAGAAATGGGCTTCACGCATTGTACCCATGTCAGGAATCGAACCCTGGTCTTCAGGACGAGCAAATGCTTTAACCACTAGGCTACCCGACCCCCCTTTTTTTGAAGATAGCATTTGTATACCCAGAACACATGTCATTACACTTGGCTTGTGATCAACCCAATGTCCACCTGATGCAAATGTATTGAGACAATGATGCTCTGTGATTAGTCCACTTATAGGAATGTAGTATGTATGTAGTGATTTTCCTACAAGATCAAGATGCAAGATTTCTCAGGTTTGTTGTAAGTGTTAGTGGTAGATGATAGACCATTTCATCAGGCTGATGACCGGCCGTAGGGCCTCGTTTCATCCCATGTCATTCCGACCATCAGCCTTGCATTACCTTGTAGATTGACAGATTAGTTATGGTTATATAGTTTCTATATACCGGTATATATGCGCTTCTCAAAGAAGATAAGGATCACCCACTTTTTTTCATATTCCTATATTTAATCTGTCATGACATGACTTCTTTTGAGTAGTGTGTGAATATAGATATATATATATAAGTCAGACCTTTTTAATTTCTTGTTTACAAATAGTCGAAGAAAACATTTGAATAAATTTTGTAAAAAGAAAGTTGTTTAAAAAAAAAATCAAATTCAGTGAAGAAAAACCTATTTTTACTTAACCGTAAAACAGATAAAATTGGCCTGGCCCAATAAACAAAAGAAAATATAACCATATTTTTGTCTGTCAAATATGACAAATCATACTTGTGAATGTACACATGTATGTGAGTTCTTGTTATCAAAAGCTGTTGAAAGATTCTGTCAGTAAATGAAACCATGTGGAATCTTATAAATGAAAGCGCATAAAATACACAGGTGAAAGTGAAAAAATGATTGCAGATTTTTAGATTTTACAACTGTTCTAAAATGAAAAGTTATGTATTAATTTCCATAAACCGATTAGACTGTCTTATATTATTGTGGTAACTTCTTGAACAGGATTCAGTGATTGAATAATATGTAGTTACGAAAGATATGTTTGCCGAATTTGGATACTTTGCTTAAATGTTTTATCCTAGTGTAAAGTCAGATTTTAAGAAATAAATATATATGTTACAGGAAACAAGTATAATCAGTGATTAAGTCTAATAACTGGAAATTTCAGTGATTATGTCTAATAACTGATTCACTCGGTGGTTATGTCTAATATTTGGTTATCACGTGACCTCACGGGAAAAGTGTTTTTTTAAACTTAAGATTTTTTTAAAAACAAGACAGATAATTTAATCACAAATACTAAAATATCGTTGATAGCAATAGTTATTTGAATACTTTTTTCATCTGTACTTAATTATTGACCATAAAAAAATTGGATATCGATCGTCCGAGAAAGCAAAATGGCGGTCAATCAAGATTCAATATACGACTAGCTACTGAAAAAAATAAAATCTGCAAATCCTCATTGTATGTCAACCAAGTGAAAGCCGTTAGCCACGACTTACAAAATGATCGTCCAGACTTTGAGGGTTTTGCAGATCCGCTCGACTGATCTGCATCGGTCGACTGGCTGTCGTCACGCTTTCGCTTCTTGTTTGAGGTTACGTATCGTAGCAGTGTGAGGATAATGAGGTACATCGATGATGCAAGGTATTAATGTACAGTTGTAAACACCTTTCACTCAAATTAACAAGATTTTCTCAGTAATTAATCCTCAATTAATCAGTGTCAACTCAGTTTATTGCCTATTACAGTGATTGACCGATTGGACTATCATGTAGGTACGATGTATTTACAGCAATCAAAACAAACAAAGCTTGTCAGTGTAGTTAATCTTCATTGTGTTGCAACTGCAGACAGAAACTGCTCAGTCCTAACTGTTGATCATGTCCGGTCAAAATTTAAGAATGTCCGGACAATACTTTTTAAAATGTCCGGTAAGCAATATTTTAAAACGGACATTTGAGATTCCCAATCGGACATGTCCGGCGCATTTGACGGTTTCCGGACCCCTGGTCTAATTACTGAAATCTTCAGTAATTAGACATAATCACTGAAATGAACCAAGGGATTTTATACTTGTTTACTGAAAGCATATTCCTGCCTTTTTATAATAACTTGTGAGAAGGCTTCATAATCCTGTCCTTAGCCAATCTCCTGTAAACAAACAGAATCATGTGTTGTAACAACATCTCGATCGAACACTCTCTTTGCGTCAAGCGGTTCAACTTGACTCAGTCTGTGGTGGTCAAGGCTTTGTAAGGTGTAATTGTGTTGGAACTAAACGGTGTCAGACCAATCGCTGCAAATGTTTTAAGGCCAAGATGCAATGTAATTCTAGATGTCATTCAAGTCTTTCATGTGCAAACAAACATTCCTGAGTGTCCATCTGACTGCATGCTATTTGTCATACCATTCATGTCATACCATTCACGTCATACCATTTTAACTGTTTAAGCTTATTTCTTTGATATAGGTATCTGGTTACAGGAGGTTGTATTTACTTTGATAGCTAATCTAATTTCAAAACTAGCACACATTATAAAAACAAGGCAGGAATATGCTTTCAGTAAACAAGTATAAAATCCCTTGGTTCATTTCAGTGATTATGTCTAATTACTGAAGATTTCAGTAATTAGACATAACCACCGAGTGAATCAGTTATTAGACATAATCACTGAAATTTTCAGTCATTAGACTTAATCACTGATTATACTTGTTTCCTGTAACATATATACAGAAACAAGAATGTTTGTATGTGCAGGAATGTCCATTGTACTAAACATTATGGGTTGGAGTACACAAGGTATTGGTGTTTGTTTTTGTGTTATTATTGATAGAATAATATCCTGTTCCCAACAAAACACTTCTAACATGATGAGTATGTGGAGGCAGGACCAATATGTTACTTTGCACAAGCCTGTGACTGAAAGTGTTTTTGAGCACAGGCTTGGTAAGTGCTATTTATTTGTTTGTTTTTTTATTATTATTATTATGATGATGATGATGATTATGATTATCACTCACAATCTTAAGGAATCATCTGTAGCCGTGTATTTGTTGAAATCTGAAAATAGAATCATTATGTAGTTGAACAAATATTTACACTGTTATTTGTCATTTATGGATGTACATATATTTACAAACCATTTCGTGCAGAAAATGCACTTGTTGCTTCTGTGATATTTGTAGAGAAGCATATAGTTATGGAAAACAATTTACACAAAATATACATGTTATATGTATAAACATGTTTCAAAATATATGCATAGCATGGATGTTGTGTGTATGTCATATTGGAAGGGATATTTAGTATTTCTTTACAAAATTGTTGATAAAATTTGATTCATGTGCAACTCTGATTTAGATTTTACATGACACTTATTGTGTAGCTTTATCTTTACTACTTCTTCCAAAGATCTGGGGTAGAATAGGTCTTTAGCATCCCATGCTTGCCCTAGAAGGCGACTATGCTTGTCGTAAGAGGCGACTAACGGGATAGGGTGGTCCAGCTTGCTGACTTGGTTGATGCACGTCATCGTATCCCAATTGCGTAGATCGATGCTCATGATGTCTATCACTGGATTGTCTGGTCCAGACTTGATTATTTACAGACTGCCGTCATATAGCTTGAATATTGCAGAGTGCGGCGTTAAACAACAAACAAACAATCCATGTTTGGTACACCTGAAGGAAATGATTCAAGCTTGATAATAACCAAGAGCATCAGGGCTTTAAGTTTTAGAAAATTTTCCTCAAGTACCTGACCTAGGCATGTGGGTACCCAATTCCAGTGGTAATATGCCACATTCAATTTGTTTTATCTTGACATGATCAAAAGTCAAAATGGATCCAGTTGCTGTGTTGTTTTCTTGTCCATCTTTGCAACAGGTGTGTTAGAGAATTGAAGATGTGAGTTATCTCCCCTGATAGAGTACTCATGTCCTTGACATTGACCTTGAGTCCTTCGTGCTCCAGTACGTGTCAGAGCTCTCCTGAGCTCTCCAGTTGTTGCACCGAAATGGCCTAATTATTACTTGTACTTCATTTGAAAGAAAATTCACGTTCACACTTGATCCTTCAGATATTGGGTACCAGGCTTGGTGACTCTGAGTCTGATTGAGTGTCATCGTGCCAAGTCAGATTGGGTTGCTCATAATATCAATCATTGGTTTGTCAGGTCAGACCTGATTAGTTAAAGGCCGCATTCATTAGCTGGAATATTGCTCAGTGCAGTGTCAAACGACAAGAGTAATCCTTCAGCTACAAATTGTTCATAATCAGGAACATGTTATTAACTAGAGGTCATGTATAAGCAGTAGAGATAGTGTATTTATGGTATTTAGACATCCTAAGTTTTTTGTCTCAACTTCTAATGGCCAAATTATTTCTGTGATATAGTTTTCTTGTTGATTTTATCTTATTAAAGATCCCACCTCCTGTTTGCATTACATCGACAATCATGAGGAAAGTGGAGTTTCTTTTCTGTCTCAAATCCAGCGTATTTCTAAAGCTGAAGAGTCCTAGCAGCTGGGGTATTTTATCATTTCAACTTTTATGTGTTTTGTTACACCAGTCAGCTTGTATACGAGTAGGTGGGATTTGCTAGAGTTCTATGCAAATGGCTCAATCTCCATCAATGAATATAGCAACCTTGCTGTTGTCCTGCTTAAACTTCAATGTCTCAGCACTAGTGCATTGTCGCCTCAGCAAGTGTGTGGAGCACCACCCACACAACATGGGGGAATTATCATCAAAGAATTTTTAGGATAGAGGGGTTTAGGGTTCATAAAATAATGAACAGTCTTTTTACCAGTAAACTATAAGATATATTGATAGACTATTTCGAGTTGAAAAGCTTCAGGAGCATTTTCAGAGTAAGTATTTTCAGAGAATCACCCCAAAAGTTGATATTTTATAAGACACTTGCTTTCATGAATGTCCAATCTCTCTATTTATGTGGCTTGGAGAAGATTGACCAGACCATGATGCACATGCAACTCTGCCTATGTTCGAGCGCGGGCAAGAGGGATCCTGCTGTCAATGTATGGCCCTGTTATCATGTTTTAAGCTACCACTTCCATGTATGTGTTGCCAGCAAGCTTGATGTCTTTGGTTTGGAAAAGGTTGCTTGAAATATGTTGATTTTCTGTTATGTTGTTATTGAATGATTTGATTTGTGATATTCCGTTGGTCAGCTATCAAAACAGTGCTTTCCATTTTTTGCAAGATGAAGTTAGATGTATGGTTATAACTTTACAGACTGAAGTGTATATGACATTTGTGTGATGCATACACAAGTGATGTTTTTTCTGGTCTCTTTTGGTATTAAGTTTGTATTCCTTTCAAAGCTTGTGAAGTGACATTGATTGATGTGATATTAAATGTTTATTTATTTTAAAGAATTGCTGGTGATGTACCATAGTCCATGAATTTAGTGTCCATTGGAGCATTTTCAATCTAGCTGCGAGATTGTAGGTTTGTACTTCTCGGCCTTTACTATCCAATATCTAGAGATTGCTGACACATGGCTAGTCACACCTTCAAAATGTTCTACAAGATTTGGGCTTTGCATTGGCTACAAGCTCAGAGTGCACATTACAGAATACCAGGGACATTTTTTTCCCCCTCTTGTTCAATTTTGCAGTGTTATCCCATTTATGATTAGGTTTAAGCCATCACACACAAAAATGTAAGGAATGCATTTCTTATTGTAATTTTCTGCTGGTTTCTAACTTTTGATCTAGTAATCCAGCTATTAAGTATTTCATTTACAGGCTTAGAAATAAGGTTTCCTTAATACGTGTAGACCTCCTTGGTACTTGATATATCAGATATGGTATCTATGTTGTTCATCATCCTCAATTATCCAGTGTAAAATGTCTCCATTCAGTGTGATAAATACCATGAACCTACTCACCACAAGGGCTTTCTTTTGAGTCCAGTTTGACCCATTCACCATAATGGCTGTATTTTTGGCCCAGTTTGACCCATTCACCATTATGGCTTTATTTTGGGCCCAGTTTGACCCGTTCACCATTATGGCAGTATTTTGGTTCCAGTTTGACCCATTCACCATAATGGCTTTATTTTAGGTCCAGTTTGACCCATTCACCATTATGGCTGTATTTTGGGACCAGTTTGACCCATTCACCATTATGGCAGTATTTGGTTCCAGTTTGACC